TTCGCAGGAAGTTCCCCAGCCTCCGCCGGAGGTACCCCAACCGCTTGCTTCGCCGCCAGATGCGGTGCCCCATCCGCCGCCCGCACTTGCCCAGGTGCCGCCGGTGTTGCCGCCAGTTGCGGCGCCCCATCCGCCTGTGTCGCTTGTTCCCCATCCGCCAGCGCTTCCCCACCCCCCTTCATTGGAGGCGCTCTCTTCTTCAGCGCCCCATCTGCTCCAGGCGAATGTTCCGCGCGATTCGGCAAGGCTCCTTTGGCGGAGCTCCTCTGCTTCGCGGCGCGCCAGCTCCCCTTCTTGCACGATGGTGAGTTTCTTCTTGGGGTCGGGGTCGCGCCAGTGAGGGTAGATCTTCAGGAAGGCCTCCTTCTTGTAGGGGCGCGGAGTCCCTTCCGCGTCGAAGGTGGCGATGTTTGTGCCGCGCAAGATTCCTTGAAGGTGGCGGGATGCAGGCCCGGGGAGGGGATGTTCCTCCGTGCCGTAGATGTTCCGCGTCGCAATCTCGAGCTCCATAGTTGACATTCCCTCCTCAGGCGGCGCGAATCGCTCAGCTTTGGCGATCACTGCGCGTCCGCGTCCGGCGATGGCGTTCGTCGAAGCAGTCAGCGTGTGGCAATCCCTGCAAATGCCATCAGGTCCGAGGTAGTGCAGCGCGACTTCGCGGGGATGCGGATGATGAGGCACCCAGGGTCTCCCATCGGGGTGCTTCCAGTCGGAGTGGTGAATGTGCTCGAAGCTCAGGGGAACGAGGTCAATCAGCTCCTTCGAGTGGCCGCTGTAGTCGGGGATGTCGAAATCGAGGATGTACACTCCGTTCTCGGAGTGTGCCCGTCCGATCTGCCGGCGCGCCTTTTTCGGCGCCGTGTAGTGAACGAGAATGTCGCGCGTGCGGAGGTAGGTGCTGAGCTCGACTCCGCAATACATGAGTTGTGCCGCCGAGAGGAGATTGAAGCGCAGGTTCTGGACTATGAGCACATCATTCAGTGTTATGTGAGTGGGGCTCCCCCGTGCTTTGAGCACGACGATTCCTTGCGCATTTGCGCTCAGGCGGGTATTGTTCGCAACGGTGACGTAAGTGACCGTGGGGGTCGCGACGGCGTTGGAGACGAAACGCTCGGATCCGACCATGTGCTGCCCACAACAGCTGTCCAGGTACCAGGTGTTGTAGCGCTTTCTGTCGTCACGTGCGAGCAGCGCCAGTCGCGGCGTGACGATGTGTGGCTTGTCGAACTTTAAAAATTGCTCGCGCGAGATCCAATCGATCGGTGCCGCCCGCGTATCAGGTACGTGCGGGGGGCTTTCAAGCAGCGGGATTGGAAGGTTCCAATCCTGGTCGTCGTCGTCGTTGAAATCGTGGCGAGTGGTGAACTGATTGTTATCCGTGAATGCTCCGATTGGGTGGCGTGCTGGCTCAGGTGACGGCGTGCGCACGCAGGGACGACGTGATCCGCTCGTTTTCGTCATGGTCATGTTGCCAATGACGTTGTGGACTGAAGCAGATTGTGACGGCTGCTGCTGCTGATGCTGAACTGCTGGGTTCAGGTTGCGCGATGGGGGTTGGTGCCCCTGGGCTTGAAGCATGTCATTGCGTGCGTCTTGTCGGCCGGACCTGTTGCTCGGATTGGTCTGGCGAGGGCGAGATCGGAATTTGCATCGATCTGCCAGGTGCCCGAAGTTTTTGCAGATTTTGCAGTTAAGGCGCCGCGGCCGTCGCTCTTCCGTGTTGTCCGCGTAGAAGGCGAGGCGTTCCCGGTCTCGTCGCGGCGCAGGTCGCTGCTGATCCATGTCTCTGTGTTCGACGAGAAGGGCGGCGCATAGGGCGGCTTCCGAGATAACCCCCTGCTGTCGGAGCAGCGCCTTGCAGGGCCGCCATTCTGGGCCGAGCCCTTGAAGCACGATATTCACGAAGATTTCTTCGGAAATGCTGCTTCCCAATTTCGCGATTTGATTGCGTAAGCTCCGACAGCGATTGATGTAGCTATTGGCCTTCTCCCCTGTTGCCATTTTTGTCTCCAGTAGCTGCTGGAGTAGGTGGCTCGATGAAACCGAATCCTTCGGTTGGTACACGCCATTTAGGTGCCGCCAGGCATCGAGGGCTGGAGCAGACGTGGTCTTGTACAAACGAATGCTCAGCTGCTCCGCCGGCGACATGTTCCGCAGTAGGACGCCGTACGCCATCAGTGACTCGTTGTAGTACTGAGCCCTGGCGCCAGCGGTGTCTTCAGCAGGTCCCGAGTAGCTCCCATCGAAATAGTGGAATATCTGTGCGTTTTGCAGCAGCAGCTCCAGCTCAAAGCTCCACGTATAGAAGTCTCTGCCGTCAAAACACACACTTGTCTTTATTTTTTATATGCTCAGGAACTTTGATTGAGCAGAGAGAATTGCTTCTCCGCTGGGACAGGGAGTCTTGGGAGTTGAGCCATTTATGTCCAGGGAGAAGGTGTGCGGGGCGGTATTGTGGCCGTTCGAGGCCGGTTGAGAGGGTTGGGAATATGTTACCGCATCGCCATTCCGCAATGTTTGGAGTCCTTGCTCCAGGCTGGTGAGTCGCTGAAGCAGTTGTGTGAGGACGGCGGTTCCAATCGTCGTCGTTTCCTCGATTGTCGCAACCGGGTTGGGCTGCGCTTCAGCGGTCAGATTCGTCTGACCTCGAGATCCTCTGGCCATTCTTACACGCGAGCGTGTGCCGGACGCCACCTTAGATCGCCGAGGATTTCGGAGGTGGCAGTGCGAAGGATTCCAGAGTCGCTCTCATACCATGCTGCGATCAGAAGTTGATCGTAACCAGGATCACCTCAGGAAGGTTCGCACACAACTAGGTAGTGGTGGTGGGCCCTTGACCTCAAATCAGAGTGAATGTAAAATGATTGAGATGAATTAAAACATACAAATACAAGCATATAAATAAGAGTACAGGGTGGAATACGAAACGACCTAGCTAGCCATGTACTCTAAGGAATACATTCCCTTATTGCAGCGAAACTCAACCGTGCGACTCCAGACGGTTACGAACTGCCTGGATAGAATCCTCGCCACTGCTGCTACCTGATGCTGTTTGCACTGACGGTCCAGATGCTTCGTAACCGTACGACCCTTCGCGTCACTTCTGCCTTTTCGTCTTTGTCAAAGTTATATTATAGTTCTTACTTAGCCTATAGTGAGATGCATCTTAGGGGGTACAACTTTTCTCTCGTCATTCTACTTGTACCCCCCCTTGACCTAGTCGACACCATTCCTCTTCTCTTACTTTAACATGGTATCAGAGCTTGGGGGTGCTGGTTCTGGGGGTGCTGCGACTGGGGGTGCTGACTCTGGGGGTGCTGCGAGTCCTAGTGGCGGTGGAGCTGTGGGCGACCCTGTTGGAGGTCCTAGAGCTGGAGGTACTAGAGGTGCTGCTGGTGCTGGAGGTGCTAGAGCTACCACTCCTGGAGGTGCAGGAGCTGGACAGCCACTGCAGCCTGATCTACTTGAGACGCTCTCGCCGCAGGCGATTCGTGCGTGGATCGTTCGGCGAGGCAGTCCTAGTGGTGGAGGGTACGGTCCTGCTGGTGCTGGAGCTACTAGTCCTGGAGGTACTGCTGGTGCTGGAGGTGCTAGAGGTACTGCTGGAGGTACTCGAGGTGCTGCTGGTGCTGGAGCTACTAGTCCTGGAGGTACTGCAGGTGCTGGAGGTGCTGGAGGTACTGCTGGAGGTACTGGAGCTGCTAGGGCTGGAGGTACTGGAGGTGCTACTGGTGCTGGAGGTGCTGGAGGTGCTGCTGGTGCTGGAGGTACTGGAGGTACTGCTGGAGGTACTAGAGGTGCTGCTGGTGCTGGAGGTACTGGAGCTGCTAGGCCTGGAGGTACTGGAGGTACTGCTGGTGCTGGAGTTACTGGAGCTGCTGCTGGTGCTGGAGGTGCTGGAGCTGCTAGTGCTGGAGGTACTGCTGGTACAGGAGGTGCTGGGGGTACTGGAGCTGCTGGCACTGGAGGCGCTGGTGCTACTGGTGCTGGAGCTGCGGGAGCTGCTGGTTCTAGAGGTGCTCGTACTAGAGGTACTGGAGCTGCCGGGGCTGGTGGTGCTGCTGGTGCTGGAGGTGCTGCTGGTGTAGGAGGACCTGGAGCTACAGGTGCTGCTGGTACTGGAGGACGTGGAGCTGCTGGTACTGCTGGTGCTGGAGGACGTGGAGCTACTGGAGCTGCTGGTGCTGGAGGTGCTGGTCCTGCTGCTGGTGCTGGAGGTACTAGAGGTGCTGCTGGTGCTGGAGGTACTGGATCTGCTAGGCCTGGAGGTGTTAGAAGGAAATGCTGCCATGAGCAACAAAATGCCTGCGCTGGGATTCGAACTCGTGACCTTCAAATCTGTCCAGAAAGTGTCTCAGGACAGATTCAGGACAGTTTCTGCTAAGGCGCAGGTTATGGTGCACGCGAGTTTCGAACTGGAGACCTTTCGATTCAAGTGTCCCGAAAGTGTCTTGTCAGGACAGATTGGGGACAGTTTGGGGACAGTTTGGCGAAATCGATCTCGGGTCGCGTTCGGTTTGAAACTCGGCAGCGAAGTGTCGAAGTCAACGGAATTCGCACGGGAGTTACAGTCGGTGGTCGACGGAATTCTGGTCGCGGAAATTCTCGTCTACGGAATTCCAGTCAGTGGAATTTGCTCGGCGAAATTCAAGGCTCCGAATTTCGCGTCGACGAAATTCAACGTGCGACCCGGGTCGACATTTTCTTGTGTGCTTTTATTTTGTATTGCGTCCTAGTATAAAACCAGGGAGCACAACCCAGAAATCAACCAAGTCATTATCACTGCTATGTTTGTGTGTATCTCTGGCTATAGTGGACCGTTTCCTGCAATCTTTGGTCCGTTGGAATCGTGCTTTCGAGCTCTATCAAGCTGCTATAGTAGTGGAATTCTACATGGTATCAGAGCAGCGTTATCTGCGTCGATCCAACTAGCAGCTTGATTCCGTCCTCCCATCACTTCGTTCCCACGTTGGTGTGGCCTACGCTCGTTTTGACCGCGGATGGAGTGGTTAACGAGCGCCGAGGGCCTGAATGCCCGTCAGGAGCTGGAGGCGTCCGTTTGTGAGCACCACCCAAACTTGCGTGATGAGGAGGTCGACCTCATTGTGGATGGTCGTCTACTACGCATGGTTCGGGAGCGCGCGGCGGAGCAAGCACTTGCGAGCGGCCAGCAAGGAGGAACAGGTGAAGGAGGAGCTGCGCACGAGGCTCCTGGTGCTGTGGGCATTGATGGAGGAGCTGTTGTACCGACCATTGATACGGGAATGATCGGCACGAGCTATGGCCAATTCAAGTTTGGAGTTGAGCACATCTCCGTGACGCCGCTGCTGGAGGGAAGGCACAACCTTACTGCGTGGGTCAGCGCCGTCCGACCTCAGCTCCAGTGCGCTGATTTGTGGCAGTTTTGCAACGGGACAGCACCAAGCCCGGCCCTGAACAACCCTTTGCAACGAAGGGAGTATGCAAAAGGCCAAATGCTTGCATTCATGGTGCTGAACCGATGTGTTTCTCCACCCATCCGAATGTCTATCTCTGGTTTCTCTCAGCAAGAGAAAGCCGGGCAGCTAGCATGGGCATATATCTTGTCTACCTATCAAGCTTGTGATGCCCTCCACGCTTCCCTACTTCGGACCCAGTTAGCCCAACTCAGGAAGGGAGATGATGAGACGGCGGAATCCTACTGCAATAGGGCCCGCACCATCCGAGCGGAGCTGCTGACCATCGGACAGGAGGTCCACATGGCCACGTTTGCCGCTCACGTGCTGAAGGGTCTGCCACCGGAGTACGGATTTCTTCGCCGCAAGCTCGACATTTCCAGCCCTGACATGACGGTGGAACGCGTGTGCAGCGAGGTGTTGATGGAGGAGCAGACTCTCTCCATCGAATAGAGCTACAAGCAGATCACCAGTGATGCATCTGCTTTCTCGGGCGCTGTCAACACGATCGTGGCTATACCGGGGGTCAACGGGAAGGAAGGGAAAGGAGGAAGGGAGCAGATGGACAAGAAGAAGGGTGGCAAGTGGGAGAAGAAGCGAGCCCCCTTCAAGGGGCGCTGCTACAACTGCAATGAGGAGGGGCGCATGGCTGCCAAGTGCCCCAACAAGAAGAAGGATACAACACCCGCGGCAGCCGCGAACGTAGCCGAAGGAGACGGGAAGGGCGTGGCGCTCACCGTCGCGTGTTCGGCTGCAAAGTTGCTGGCCGACGACAAGGACTTGTGGTTCCTTGACTCGGGATGCTCCCAACACATGACCGGCCGCAAGGAGTGGTTCACGGTGATCCGTGACCCATCTGCAACGAAATCCGTCAAAGGGTTTGATGGGTCTATGCAGGAAGTTGCCGGTGTTGGCGAGGTTTTGCTGAAGGGCACTAACGGCTTGCGTGTGACCCTGCATGATGTCCTCTTTGTGCCAGGAATGAAGGCCAACTTGGTCTCTCCTGGGCAGCTCACGGACAAAGGAGCAAATCTGCAAACCGAAGAAGGTGTCACCCGCGTCATCGCATCGGGAGGACAAGTGGCTGCAACGGCACGCTACCGCCATCGTCTTCTCTGTCTTGACCTGAAACCGTGGCCAGCAAGCAACGGCACGACAGCTGGAGCGGCATGCAACGGCACGGTGGCTGCAGCGGCTCGCAACGACGCGACGGCTGGAGCGGCATGCAACGGCACGGTGGCTGCAGTGACATGCAATGGCATGACTAAGACGGTTGCTGACGGAGCGGCCAGCCTTAAGACGTATGCGGTGGGCTCCAAGGCAACGCCCAACCTGTGGCACGCTTGCCTTGGACACGTCCACTTCGATGCGGTGAAGCGGACAGCCACAAACGGTGGCGTGCTAGGCATGGACCTAGAGAAAGGAGGGGAGGACACGTCGAGCGCCTCCTCCCAAGAAGCCAAACTCACTCGTCAAACACTTCCGCTGCCTGACGAGCGAGAGGGGGAGGTTCTTGGGATGGTCCGTGGCCCTGAGCAGAATCAGCCGCCGTCACGTACAGTCATCATGGTCCCGGTGTCGTCCGTGCAAGGGGGCGAACAACCGTTTGATCGTTCGGTTGACCCTGCGGGCAGCAAGGCAACCATGGCTCCGCCACCTCCATGTCCATCCTTATCTGCTGGCTTGGCACCCGTGGGATCAGAGGTTGGTCCCTCTGTGGATGAACGTATTGCAGCTGATGAAGACGAGGAAGGAGAGGAAGTGGACCTGAAATCGGCGATAGCCCATGGGAATGACCCCATACCCTTAGTTCCGCCCCTCCAGGCCACTCCCCTACCCCCATGTCATTCTAGCAGGTCCAGCAAGGGGGTGCCACCCGTACAGTTTCCCGCATCAGCCATGACGGCCCAGGATGCAGACAATGAGGACAACCCGTACGACGTGGCGTACCTTGCTGAGGACGATTGCGACACGGACAGCGATGACGAAGTGGAGTACCCGGACGAGGATGAGGAGGAGGAAGGCGCTTGGGGAGGTGTCATCCTCGACCTGGCAGCTGCGTTGACCGGACCTGAAGGCAAGGAATGGTGGGCTGCTATGAGGGAGGAGATGGAGAGCCTTGATGAGCAAGGCACTTGGTTGTTGGCCGACCTACCCGAAGGTCGCAAAACTGTCGGCGTCAAGTGGCTACTGAAGAAAAAGCTTCGGCCTGATGGCACTGTGGAGAAGTACAAGGCCAGGCTCGTGGCTAAGGGCTTTAGCCAGCGCTTCGGCATCGACTACGACGACACTTACGCTCCTGTTGGCAGCTACACCACCGTTCGCGTGCTCCTCTCAATCGCAGCAGCTATGGACCTGGATTTGCTGCAGCTTGATGTGAAGAATGCATTTCTTCACGGCACCATCGACCACGAGATCTACATGCAGCAGCCGCCTTACTTCACCGACGGTAGCAGCAAGGTGTGCCTCCTGCAGAAGAGCCTTTATGGGCTAAAGCAGAGTCCCCTTTTGTGGTACAAGGAGCTGGACAAGGTGCTCCTTGTGGAGGGGTACAAGAAGAGCCTTGTGGACCAGGCCCTATACTACAAGGATGGGGCAAGCGGGAAGCGCGTGTGGCTGCTAATCTACGTGGATGACCTGCTGGCGGCAAGTGAAGACCAGCAGCTGCTGCAGGACCTGAAGGAGCTGCTGGCCAAGGCGTTTCAGCTCCGTGAGGTGGAGCCAATGGAGCGCTACCTGGGGCTGCAGATTGTGCGCGACCGCCCCAACAGGACACTCCTCCTGCACCAGAATGCGTACGTGGCGAAGGTGCAGCAGCGGTTCTTCAAGGGGGCGCTACCAAAGAAGCAGCCGATCACTCCTCTCTCCTCTACCAGCTTTGCCAAACAGGATGCCGGGCAGTTTGCCAACCGTACCATGACCGATCGCCTTGCAGCAGGTGCACACCTCAGGACGGATGCGCATTGGCATGAGCTCTTCCGCACACTCTCCTACTGGGCTGCCTCACCGGACATGGGGCTGCTGTTCAAGGGAGGACCAGAGAGTTTGACTCTCGTGGGGTATGCGGATGCGGATGATGCAGGCGACAAGGAGAACCGGTCATCCACGGGAGGCTACCTCTTCAAGCTTGGCGGAGCTGCCGTTTCATGGCAGGCCAAGAAGCTGCAGGGTGCGACCAAACTTTCCTCCACCGAGAGCGAGCTTGTGGCTGCGGTAGAAGCGGGAAAGGAGGGGCGCAAGCTAAGGTTCCTGCTGTGGGAGTTTCAGCTGCTCAAGAAGGGTGTTCTCACCACCCGTTATGTCGACAACATGTCAGCGGTGCAGCTCAGCCAGGCGATCGGGCTGCAGGGGCGCATGAAGCATGTGGACCGTCGCCACATGTGGCTGCAGGACGTGGTGCGCATGAAGAAGTTGGAGCTGCAGCACATCCCTACGACGGCGCAGCCCGCGGACTTCTTCACGAAGCGGCTCGACAAGGCAGCCTTCAACCGATGCTGTGCAGCAGCCGGGCTGGTGCAGCGTGCTCCTGATAGCAAGGGGGCGTGTTAGAAGGAAATGCTGCCATGAGCAACAAAATGCCTGCGCTGGGATTCGAACTCGTGACCTTCAAATCTGTCCAGAAAGTGTCTCAGGACAGATTCAGGACAGTTTCTGCTAAGGCGCAGGTTATGGTGCACGCGAGTTTCGAACTGGAGACCTTTCGATTCAAGTGTCCCGAAAGTGTCTTGTCAGGACAGATTGGGGACAGTTTGGGGACAGTTTGGCGAAATCGATCTCGGGTCGCGTTCGGTTTGAAACTCGGCAGCGAAGTGTCGAAGTCAACGGAATTCGCACGGGAGTTACAGTCGGTGGTCGACGGAATTCTGGTCGCGGAAATTCTCGTCTACGGAATTCCAGTCAATGGAATTCGCTCGGCGAAATTCAAGGCTCCGAATTTCGCGTCGACGAAATTCAACGTGCGACCCGGGTCGACATTTTCTTGTGTGCTTTTATTTTGTATTGCGTCCTAGTATAAAATCAGGGAGCACAAACCATAAATCAACCAAGTCATTATCACTGCTATGTTTGTGTGTATCTCTGGCTATAGTGGACCGTTTCCTGCAATCTTTGGTGCGTTGGAATCGTGCTTTCGAGCTCTATCAAGCTGCTATAGTAGTTGAATTCTACAGGAGGTACTGGAGGTGCTGCTGCTACTGGTGCTGGAGGTGCTGCTGGGAGTACTGGAGGAGCTGCTCGTGCTGGAGGTACGGGAGCTGCTGGTGCTCTTCGCCACCTTCTCAGTCTTCCGCCAGGTGCTACTGACTTCCCTGTGGCAGGTACTACTCCTCCGTTACTGTTTCCACCGGCAAACCAGTCACAGCCGCAGCTGCTACCGCACTCCCCACTGCCTGCTCCTGCTCCTTACACTGCGGTGACACAGTCCCTGACTGAGCGTCGAGAGCCTGAGACTCGTGCTTCCACCCCTGAGCGTCGAGAGCGTGAGTCCAGCTTTGACCTTGAGCCCGAGCCTAGAGCTGCTGTCCGTGCTCGTGTCCCTCGTGTTCGTCGTCAGCGTGCTCCGGCTGTCCCAGGCACTCACGATATGACATTCCGTCCTTCCTCTGTTCTACAGCGTGTTGTCCTGCCGTTACCTCCTGCGTCCTCTCTTCCTGACATTGCTGACCCTCCGTCTGACCTTGCTCGTGCGTCCAGTCCGACTGTTACTCGCTTTCTTACTACGGTGGTGACTGACCCTTCGTTCTCGTCTCCTGCTGCGTCTGCCTTAGTCGCTGAGCTCGTTGACTTTGCTGCTGTGTACCACCTAGACTACCTTGCGAGTCTTGTTTCTGACCCTGACCCTGCCTGTCCTCCATCCGTCGGGGGTGAGACTGCCCTTGGCTGTACTGCCCTTGGCTGTGACGTTCTTGAGGACAGGCAGGAGGAGCTGGAGTGCCTTGCGGCCGCTGTACCTCATCTCGCTACCATGCTGCCCCTGAGGGAGACCCGGATGCACTTGACATCCCCACCCCGCGCTCTTACAGAGAGGCGATTTCGGGTGAGTACTCCTCTCAGTGAGGACGACGCTTGCGGCTCTTGGTTTCGCTCCCTCGACAGCTGACCCGTCGCTGTTTCTGCGCACTGACACCACTCTGCCGACGTTCTACATCCTCGTGAAACCCGTCGCTGTTTCGCTGTTTTTCTCTCGTCATTCTACTTTTACCCCCCCTTGACCTAGTCGACACTATTCCTCTTCTCTTACTTTAACAGTCTTCAGACTCGGTACTGCATGCTTCGACTGCTACTGTCAGGAGTGCACAGTAACACTGAATCTTTTACTATTCGTAACAACCTCTGCTATCCTTGTGAATTGGAGATGACTGGATGTACGAGAACAATTCTGAAAATCTTTAATCGCAGCAGGTCAAGCCACCGATTTCTGATTTCAGAAATTAAAGCCCTTTTCAGCATAACGGAGAAATAAAGTCGGTAGGTATATATTTCACATACTTATTTGGGGCCCTCTTAGTAAATTATCAGCTAATTTGGATCATTAATATTTCTCCCAATCCACTGGGATGATAGGGATGGAGGAGTCTAACATCGTGTTATATGATATATACATGGTTTTCATAATTCTAGTATACTTGATAATATTGGAGATGTCGCAGATGTGGTTTGAACTTTGAACAGACAATTGTAATGTGCCAGCAGAACTGACGTGGCACCAGCGTCAACCCTATCACTTGAGTGTTGAGCCGCGGTCGCTGACCTATCACGGGCCTGCTTGCGTCAGGAGGAGGACGCAAACGGGCGTGACTGTTCCTTGTCAGGCGACATACAGTACGTGGCTGAGCAAGCAGCGGGAAAACCGAGGGATAGGGTTCGGTTCGGGGGAAGGCTCCGCCTTGGCGGACCTGTTATACTAATGGCACACCTGGTGCAGAGTGTGCAGAGCTGCTCTTGCGCACCTGGACGTCCTGACATGACACCACATTCCACCACGCAAGAAATTTCAATAACCCACAATATTGCGTTGAAACTAGTCGCAAGAGTGATTCCAAGGGCGCAAACCTGATCTTCGACTTGATCGCTGTGCCTTTGCGTCCGCCCGCATTGCTCCGCCCTGGCGCGCCAAACCCCTGCCGGTCCTGCCATGCATCACGCCCAATCATCCGCGTATCCGCACTGAAACGAACCAGAATCCAGGCAGCCAGGCGGGGCGAGCAGGCGTCATGTTGGGCGTCTGTTGCTGCGTCTTCTCTCAGGAGTCAGGTGGCAGGTGCCTCACCTCCCAGGCTCCCAGCCCAGCTCCTATTTCACATGCGCTCGAAACCCTACCTGCTGTTCCAGGTGACCTACCTTGCAACGATCGATCGATTGCTGGTTCTCGGTTCTGCTGCTGCTGCTTGGAGCTCAGCTGCCATGTTGAGGCAAGAGGTCAGGCACTTCAATGACATGCCATCCATTTTTTTCCCGCGTAGACCGCCGTTAGTCTATTCACCGTTTCGTCAGTGATCTGCCGACTTAGTGCATCCGTTATGTCGTTAGTTGCGCTTTTCTAGGGTTTCATTCATTTGCCGATGATATTATTTCCATCCCTTTCACGACTGCCGCGTGTATTAGCGAGCTACTTTCGCCTGTTGATCGTAGCTAAATAATAGAGTGTTAGCATCGCTTGCCATCGTTCCCGCCATTACGGGCTGTCGTTCGGGCTTATTTGTCGACGGCTGGTCCTATTTTCCGGTCCTTCTCGTCCTGTTCTTATCGTTATGTCGTTCTTTCCGTATCTTCCTAACTCGTGCCTTCCTTCTCTCTCTGCCACCACACCCTTCTCCCTTCTTCTTGCCGCCTCCCGCTCCTTCAGGTTCGAACTAAGACCGGCGAGGAGGTATTTTCTCGTTGACGTCACATCGTGGATCGACCCGTCACGCTTTCCGCAATTAATTTAAATTAGTACACGGCGTATCCCTATACTCGATCCGATCGAGCCACGCTAGTCAATAATGGACAGTTTACCGGCGGGGTTTGACAAGGATTTGTTAAAGGCGGCTCTGGCATCGCTACGCGATGAGGACACTAGTGGCAGCGGGGGCGGGGGGATGGAATTGACGGACGACTTGGTCTCGCGCGTAGGGCAGCGTTTGCAGCACCTGCAGGCCCTCGCCGCCGCGCGGGCGCCGCCCAAGTCCCCCGCACTTGCGCCCAACTCCCCCGCAGTTGCGCCCAATTCCCCCGCTGTAGCTGCGCCTGACGGTGAAGGGGGGAGTGTGCTGGGTTCTCCCGCCGTACAGGCGGGAGAACCTCAAAGAGAAGCCCAGGGGGAGCAGGCGGAACACGGCCGCAGCGAGTTGGGCGCAGATGGCGCAGGGGATAATGCTGGAGACACGGGACATGTATCGCAAACGGGGCATGCTATAGCGGACACTGGGCAAAAGGACCATGAGGGGGCGGATGGTGGGGCGGGAGCGGGGACATCCGGCGAAGGCGCGTGTGGCGGAGATAAGGAGGCAGGCGGAGCGGAGCAGACAGGACAGGAGGGCGGGAATGGGGCAGCGCTCCCGACCGAGGGGGACGCGAATGGGGGCTTTGTCAAAAGGGCAGGGGAAGGTGAAGGGGAAGGAGCGGAGGGCGGGATGGGCAAAAATTCCAGTATGCCAGTTGCGCAGGTGAACACTCCGCCAGTAGCGGGAGCGGTGGCGCACGCGGAGGAGAATGCGGAGAAGATTGTATTGGCGGGATACAGCAATGAGCGCGACCAGCGAACCAGCGATAACGAGCATCAACATGCACAGGGGCAAGCGCATGGGCAAGGGCATGGGCAAGCGCATGGGCAAGGGCATGGGCAAGCGCATGGGCAAGGGCAAGAGCAGGGGCAAGGGCTAGGCGGAAGCCGCCAGCTGACTCCCACCCCTGGCGCGCAGGATATAGCGCCCGCAGCGGCGGAAAACAACAGCCCCGCGCAGGCCGCGGCGGTGCCAGCCGGTGGAGAAGCGGCAGCGGGGCGCGGAGCCGACTCTTTCGCGGAAGAGAGACCGGGGAACGGGGGGGCGGGCGGGGAAGGGTCGGAAGGGATGGGCGGAGACGGGGGAGATGGCGGAGAGGACGAGGATTCTGAAGAGGGCGTGGAGAAGGAAGCGAGTCGCATGCTGTCGTCGCAGTACCGCGGGGTGGTGCCGCAGCCGAACGGGCGGTGGGGCGCGCAGATCTACGAGAAACACAGCCGCGTGTGGCTCGGCACGTTCAACGGCGAGGAGGACGCGGCGCGCGCGTACGACCGCGCGGCGCTCAAGTTCCGCGGGAGAGACGCGATGACGAACTTTAGGCCCATGCCCGAGTCGCACCCTGAGATCTGCTTCATCATGTCGCAGCCCAAAGAGAAGGTGCGCCGCCCCTCGCCCGCACCTCTCCCACTCCCACACACTCCGCTCCCGCCGTACTGCCTCCGCTAGTTTTCCACGTCGCTCCGTGCATCCGTCCCTCCGCGCCTGTCGTGTCTCTGCTCCGCCCCGCCGACCTCTCTCGTCCCTTGCTTCGCACTCGCTCTCTCCTCCGTTTCAATCGCATTCTCCTGCCCTCGTCCCTCTACGTTCCCTGCCCCATCGCTGTCCCGCCATTTCGTATCTCTCGTCTTACTCTTCCCCTCTCCTCCTTATCCCATGCTTCCCCCACCCACCCCCCGCGTCCCCGCGCGTAGCTTGTGGACATGCTGCGCAAGCACACATTCGACGACGAGCTCCCAACGAGTTCTCAGACGTCGCAAACTCCCCCCGCACTCCCCCCACCCACCCTCCGCTTCTCCCCCCTCCGCCCCGCGCAGCTGGTGGACATGCTCCGCAAGCACACGTTTGACGAGGAGCTCGCCAACGCGAACCTCGCGGACGCCGCCTCATCTCCGCCTGCGCCGCCCAACGCGCACGCGCTCGCGCTCCCCGCGCCTTCCCCGCAGCAAGGGCAGGGGCAGGGCGCGCTGATGCTGCCAGCGCAGGGGCAGGCGCAGGCGCATCACCACGACCCCCCTTACCCGGGGCATTCCCCGCTCTCGCTTCCGCCATCCGCGCATCTCCACCCCGCGTCCTCCGGTTTCCCCGCCGGTTCCTCCCCCTCTGCGCCGCTCGGCCCAGGTCGGCCCGCGCAGGACGGCGCCGGGACGCCCCTCCGCATCGTTGGCAGCGCGGGCGCTCCCGCGGGCGCGGTGATGGGCGGCGGGCGGGAGCTGGGGTTTCCCTCTTCTGAGGCCGCGCAGTCAGGCGGAGGAGGGTTCCATGGGGGAGGGGGAGGCGCAGGCGGGGGAGCAGGACCAGGCGGGTACGGCGGAGGGGGCGGCCAGGTGATGGGGGCAGCCGGGGGAGGCGCAATGGGGGGTTCGATTGGGGGAGGCATGGGCGGAGCGATGGGCGGAGGCGGCGGGGGCGGGGGTGGCGGGGGGGGAGTGAGCATGGCGGGGAAGGAGCATCTGTTTGAGAAGGCGGTGACGCCGAGCGACGTGGGGAAGCTGAACCGGCTGGTGATTCCCAAGCAGCACGCCGAGAGGTGTTTCCCGCTCGACCCCAACCTGCCCACGCCCGCCATGACTCTCTCCTTTGAGGACGAGGCCGGCAAGCACTGGCGCTTCCGGTGAGTTTTGAGTCAACTCGATAATGAGTTTTGTGGTGATTCAAAACACATCTGGACCCCAACCTGCCCAACCCCGCCACGCCGCGCGCGTTTGAGGACGAGGCGGGCAAACACTGGCGCTTTCGGTACAACTCTCAGCCACAGCCGCAGCCGCTGCCGCTGCCTCTGCCATACACGTAGCCATAGCCTTCGCCGCGCCTGTAGTTCGCCTGCTATCTGTTCCCCCGTGTGTCCCTCAATTCCAGCCCATGCCATCACTCGTCGTGCACCCTTCATCGCATCTGCGCCCTTCATCGCATCTGCGCCCTTCATCGCATCTGCGCCCTTCATCGCATCTGTGCCCTTCATCGCATCTGCGCCCTTCATCGCATCTGCGCCCTTCATCGCATCTGCGCCTTTCATCGCATCTGCGCCCTCTTCTCCCACCTTCCGACTTCTCCATGCCTCTGCTCACCACGCCAAACCCCCACACCCCCCCTTCCCCCCTTTCTTTCTTCCTCCCGCTCCCTCTCCTCTTCCTTGGTCCCCCCAGCTACTCGTATTGGAACAGCAGTCAGAGCTACGTGCTGACCAAGGGGTGGAGCCGCTTCGTCAAGGAGAAGCTTCTGGTCCCGGGGGACATCGTCTACTTCCACAGGGGCACCGCGGGGGACCTCTTTATAGGCTTCCGCCGCCGCCCCGCGCAGGGCTTCGCGCCCTCTGCCGCCGCATCCAGCGGGGGCGCGGGAGCCGCGCTGGGCTCCGCGGATGGGGCGCAAGACGACCCCATGGGGCTGCAGGGGAGGTCCTGGCGGAGGCCTTCCCCGCCCCGCCAGGCGGGCGTGGGGTATGGGGGGTTTGGGGGAGGCGGGCAGCGGAGAGCGGACGGGGGAGGGTATGGGCGGGACGAGGGGGAGGATAGTATGGATGGGGAGGTGGGGAGTGTAGGCGGGGGCGGGGGAGGGGGCGGTGGGGAGCAGGGGAAGCTGGGCGCGAGCAATCTCGCGGCGCTGACTGCAGCGAAGCTTCCTGCGTCGCTTCTTGCACAGCTAGGCCCGTCGGGCGTGGCGCAGCTGGCGTCACTGCTGACGTCAGTGACAGGTCAGGGTGGGCTGACCCCTGCCGTGCTGCTCTCCCACATCCAGCAGATTCAACGTCAGAAGCAGCAGCAGCAGCAGCAGCAACAGGCGCCGCTGCAGCAGCAGGAGCAGAAAGAGGAGGAACTAGAGGAGGAAGAGGAGGACGAGGAGGACCATCCGTTACAGCAGGGGCAGGGGCAGGGGGGGGGTGCGATGGAGGGCGAGGGGGCAGTGAGCGAGATAGTCCCGGGGGTGGTGAAGGGATCAGTACAAGAGCAGTTGGTGAATGCTGCAGTGGCTAAGGGTTTAGCGGCGGGGCTGTCGAGGGACCAGATCGTGTCGTCCATTGCCGCCCTGCTCGCGCAGCAGCAGGCCATGCGCAACTCCTCCTCCGCTACAGACAAAGCCGGTGATGCGCATGGCGGGTCGCATGGGGACGGCGGTGTGGGCGGCACGGGGGGGATGGGCGCGCCGTCGTTGCTGGTAGCGCCTGGAGCAGGGGGGGCGGGAGGGCCAGGGGGAGGAATGGGGGGAATGGGGGCCATGAATTCAGACGGTCTCGGACAAGAGGCAGCATGGGATCAGGGCGGTCCCTCCCAGCCTCCCCCTTCCCTCCACCCCCCCCTCTTCCACATGCCGCAGTCACTACCTCCCCTGGGTGGCACCCGCCCGGGGGGGTACGGAGGGGCAGGGGGGCTGGCGGGGAGGAAGCGGGCAGCGCCGGAGGATTCAGCAGAGCCGTCGGGGAGTCGGGGGGACGTGGGGGACGGGGGCGCGGACGATGGCGCGTCTATGGCGTCTGGCATGGGCGGGGGGAAGCGCATGGCGTCCCTTGCTGCTGCCAGTGCGGCTGCTGGCGGGGGTGGCGGAGGTGGTGGGGGCGGGGGTTTTGGGGGAGGTGGTGGAGGGCTGGGGGGGTTGATGGGTGCGCGAGTGAGTGGGCTTGGTGATGTTGGTAGGGAGTCTCCTGGCGGGTCCCCTTTCTACCAGCACCAGCAGCAGCACCAGCAGCAGCACCAGCAGCAGCACAACCAGCAGAACCAGCAGATGCCTCAGATGCAGCAGCAGTCACGGGGAGGGTTCATGGGAGCAGGCAGCATGGGAGCAGCAGGTGGTGTGGCGGGTGGAGCAGCAGCAGGCGGTGCAGGGACAGCAGGAGGTGGTGGTGGCGGTGGTGGGGGCAGAGGGGGCTCGCCCCCCTCCAGCCTGGGCCCTGAGCGCTCAGGCAACTCCTCCCCCGGTGCTGCAGGCGCGGGCATGATGGGGGGCGCGGGGGATGGCGCAGGGGGATTCGGAGGTGGATTGGGGGGGCTGTCAGGATCAGCAGACGCAGCAGGCTTGGGAGCAGGGAGCATGGCGGATAACGCAGGGGGAGCGGGCGCACGGGGTGGAGCGGCAGGGGGAGGGGGAGGCGGGGGAGCCGGAGGCGCTGGGGGAGAGGAGAGCTTGAGAGTGAAGTGCTTTGTAGAGGGGTCACCGTTCGGTGTGTCGGTGGATCTGAGTCGGTTCCAGTCGACGCAGGAGCTGAGGGAGGCGCTGCTGTCGGTGACAGAGGGGTCGTCCGTGGTGTACCAGGACCGTGAGGGGGATATGATTCTGCTGGGCGACGAGTCATGGGAGTTCTTTTTGAAATCAGTCAGGCGTATGTACATCCGCCGGTGACTTGCCTAGCCGGGCTTGTGAGGTGCATGATGTGACAGAGGGGTCGTCCGTGGTGTACCAGGACCGCGAGGGGGATATGATTCTGTTGGGGGACGAGTCCTGGGAGTTCTTTTTGAAATCAGTCAGGCGCATGTACATCCGCCGGTGATCAGCTGGTGGCTTGTGAGGTGCCTCAGCTGACAGGGCAACAGAGGGGTCACCTGTGGTGTATCAGGACCGTGAGGGCGACATGATTCTCTTGGGAAACGAGTCCTGGGAGTTGTTTCTCAAGTCAGTCCGGCGCATGTACATCTGCCGGTGACTCTGGGCTTGTCAGGTGCCTAAGCTGGCAGGGAGCGGGGTCGCTCGTGGCGCACGTCGTCACACACAGGGTGTGATCCTGCAGCTGCTTTGGACGAGTCGTGAGCGGTGCACTGCTCGTCATCACTCGGCCTGTTGAGGTTCCGGTGGTTTGAAGTGTGTCACTGAGGTGCATGTACATTCGTTGCTGAGTAGATGGTCGACGCGGGTGGGGGCTGGCAGACCCCCTTTAGGTAACAAGGTAAGTAGAATAGCAGCCAATGATGTATGGTATGCACCTTTGTGGGCTGCCTATCAGTAATAAATCAGCCCGTTTCTGTCTTAGGTCAACTGTAGGATTAGCTGTAGTTGCTTCAGGTTATTGGACAGCCCAATCTGATGGTTTAGTTGTGGGAATGTAGCCCAACCTTGCTGAGTGATCATTTATAATTGCTGTCAAGGCTGAGCTGAAACTCAACAGCTGTAGTACTGTAATTTCCAAACGATAACGTATCTGATTATGGTGAGTCTTGTGACGGACGGCAATCCCGATATCCATCGAAATTCCTTTGTCGGAAACCTTGTTACTAAAACCACGGCGACAATTTGCGAGAACAGGCGACAGTTCCCATGGTCGCCTGACACCTGGTCACGAATCAGGATTCGTCCAGGCCTGTCGCGATTTGACGGCCCGTCAAATTCAGAGTTGCGGGTGACACCTGGGGATCACCCTTCCCCCTTCTCCCCCTCCTCCCCCTTTCACCTCCACGAAACGCAGTCTCGCAAATACTCCTTCCAGTTCAGTGAAGGCCAGTTTTTGCTCGGATTCTCCAGTCACTCCAGCGTCAGGTTCGATCTCGGTTACTTTCTAACGAATCCTTGCATTCGTCCCGAGACCCTTTCGTCACCATGTCGGAGCTCGAGATTAGATTCAAGAAGGCCGCGTACCTGATCCGCAACGGCCCGCCGAATCCCAAGGCGACGACCGAGGAGAAGCTCAAGTACTACTCCTTCTTCAAGCAGGCCACGGAGGGCGACGTGAAGGGATCCCAGGTATTTTTGAAATGTATCGAATTGTTCCTTGGAAGGATAATCTTTGTGCATCGCTGTTCCGCGTGAGAACGGCTCCTTCCTAGCGACTGTACGAGTCGCTTCATTAGCTCACCCTCCCTATCACGCATTAACGTATGCACGCCGTCTTAACGAACGCACGTCACGGACCTTCACGCGCATTCCGATCCGTTCGCGACACTTGTGTTGTGCGTGGCAGCCGCTGTTCATCCAATTCGAGGCGCGGCAGAAGTGGGACGCGTGGAACGCGATTAAGGGCATGTCGGCGGAGGAGGCGATGCAGAAATACATTGATATCCTCGCCGCTGATGACCCCAACTGGGAGTCGCACCCCGTGCTCGCTGACTTCAAGCCCGAGTAATCCCCTGTCTCGAAAATATAGATTCCAAGAAATCCGTTGGTGAACGCACCATGCCGTGAACACCCCTGGCGTGGTGACGCTGAGCCTTTTTGTTTTTTTACAATGCGTTTTCATGTGTTGTTATGGTTAGGGGTTAGTGCAGCCTGTTCAGGGATGAAAGAAAAATGAATATTCCTGGTTCGCCCTTGGTGTCATGAGGCTCCTTTCCATGTGGGCTTGCTAAGCTATCCAGTATTGAGCCAGTCAGTTCATATACAGAAATGCTCCAAGAAGCTTACACAGAAACAGCTACAGTGTTGAAATCAGTGATGTAGCTTGCCAATGTAGCAAGCCACATAACACTCCCTAATTCTACATCCAGGATAGAGTAACACCTCGAAGGTTCAACTGAGCTCGCCAGGCAGGCAGCATGAAAGCCTGAACACAAGGCTGCATGCCAGTCTGTCTGCCAGCCTGCATGCCACCGTGCGTCCACGCTCTAGAAGCCAGGCAGCACAGTGAGGTCGGCAATGCCTTCCGGCAGTCTCGCAATCCTGCTCAGCAGCCCCAGGCGGTTCTTGCGCAGCTGCTCATCCTCCTGCGCCCCCAGTGCCACACACCCAGGTGAAATTTAGTGATCGCGTCAAAACCACAATACCAAGTCAAGAGGCGAGCAATCACAGAAGTTCACACCAGGGCAAGAGTCAGCACATAGATAGAGACAGACGGACATTTTACAACATCAGCAACACAAGCATGATGGAGAGGATCGTGCAGTGGGGTTGTGGGGTTTTGGGTGTCGGGTGTGCTGTGGGAGACGGGAGTGTGCGTTGAGGGATTTGGGGTTTGGAGTGTGGTGGGGGGGTGTGAAGTGCGGTGTTGGAAATAGATATGCATGTTGTGTAGCTAGCTGGCTGGCTGGCTGGCTGGCTGGCTGGCTGATTGGCTTACCGCCATGACGAACACGTTTGCAAAGAAGCCTTCAAGCGGGTCAATGAGAGCCATGGATGCATCGGCAAACGCCCTGATGCTCATGTCTGCATGCATGCCATGTTGGGAGACGGGGAAGGAGACAGAGAGCACAGACTGAATATCTGTTACCACTACATGTGAGGATGCGGATATGGTTGGTCGTGAAGAGATGGCAGATGACTGGGGTGAACAGGGAGGCAGTGGTGCATGCTGTGCTGAAAACGGCAATGGCTGGACCAACTTAGAGACAGTCCAGCGTGTGGCTGAATACGATATTGTTGTGGCATGAAATGAATGCGATGTGGATGCAGAGTGATGTGCTGCGTGATATGTGGCATGAATGTAACATTGGCACAGGTACAGCAAGCGCGCACCACTGGAGACCTCGGCATCCACGTGCTTGAAGGCGTCCCATAGATTCTTCTCCGCGTCCGACTCAAATAGCTCCTCCCTCACCTGCACATGCACTCACAACCCCTCCCCTCCCCGCAACCCCACACACAAGACAGCACAGCGTTATGCTCAGTGTTATGCTGCGTGGCTACTGTCTGTAAACTCCAGGGCGCTTCACAGACACACACACACTCCTCGGGACCAGTATGCGCCACAGAAGTATGTCAGGTTGCCAGAGCATGATAGAGTATGGCAGGTCACAAGGGTAAAGCTGGCATAACGAGAGCTCACCTGCCAGTCCAGGTCCACCTCCTTGCCGCGCACGATCCTCGTTGGTCGGGCATACGCTGCCACGATCTTTTCAAGCTGCCCGGACGCCTGCAGCTCCTCCATCTGGTATCAGGGCAGGCAGTGGGGCAGTCAGCACGGTTACAGGTTGTCAGCCGAGGCAAAAATGGAGTGCTCTGGCACTCTCGGCTCCTTGCTGCATCATAAGGAGAGTCCGGATTGTTTTCCCATGTCTTTATCTCTTAGTGCCAGCGTTGGCATGGAGGCCCTCTGTGTTGTGTGACCGTGTCACACAATGTCATATGTCACACAATGTCATATGTCACACAATGTCATATGTCACAACGTCACATCACAGCAGAGAGGATTCGCGTGCCACAATGCGCCACCACTCACCTCCGCCACGGATCGTGCAGCCAGGGCGGGCACGGAGCCTCTCTCCTCCAGCACACTTCGCACCGCCTCCACTGCCTTCACTGCCTCATGCACCAAGTGACTGCTGAGCGGCCTCCACACCCAGCTTTACAACTCACCTCCGCCACGGATCCGGCAGCCAGGGCCGGAACGGAGCCCCGCTCCTCCAGCACGCTTCGTACCGCCTCCACTGCCGCCCCGCGGTCCACCAGGAACTGCTCCAGGCGGCGCACTATGAAGGATTCCACCTGGAATACGGGGAGAGGGAAGAGTGGGAAAGTCGGGGGGGTGGGGGGGGGGAGCGAGTAGGTGGGAGTGTGAAGGGCAATATAATGCGCTAACAGCAACGCCTCCACGGCCGCCCCCTGCTCCAGGCGGGAAGGGTTCCACCTGGGAGCCAGAGAACAGAGAGAGGGAAGGGGGAGGAAGTAGGTGGGAGGTGAAGAGGGAGTTTGAGTTGCCTCTACCACGACCTCCACCGTTGCCCGGCAGCCCACCAGGAACTGCTCCAAACGGCGTGCTATAAACACATATTTGAATGTTGGCTCTGAGACGTCTCAAAACCGCACTATAAAACCCCTCTCACCTGTGCCCATCTCACGTGCCCCCCTTTTCACCTGCCCTACTCTCACCTGCTCCAGTGTAGCGGGGGTGACCTCCACTGGCTGCACGGACGCTGCTGCCTGCAGGGCTGTGGAGAGGTGCAGGTCCGTGTTGCTCGCTACCAGCGCCTCCACCTGCCGGCATGGATGCAACGTGGTGACAGGAGGTGAAAAGGGGTGAAATGCGGTTAGGTGGAATGATGCAGATTTGCGTTGCTAGTCACAGATGCTGCTGCCTGCAGGGCCGTGGAGAGGTGCAGATCCGTGTTGCTCGCAACCAGGGATTCCACCTGCAATGAGGCATGGATGGATGAGTATGCGATGAGAGGAGGTTGAAGAAGGTGAGAGGGGGTGGAAGGAGGTGAGGAAGCGGTTGGGTGGAGAGGTGCAGATTCGTGTTGCTTGCTTCCAGGCCTTCCACCTGCCATCAGAGACGCAACGTGGTGAAGGGAGGTGAATAAAAGGAGGTGAGAAGAGGCGGCAGGAGTGGCTTTCACCGGAAGCACAGATACGGCTGCCTGAAGAGTGGTGGAGAGATGCAGATCGGGGTTGGTCGTTACAAGCGCCTCAACGTGCCCGCATAGACACAACGGAAGCAGGAGGAAGTGGGTGAAAATGGGGAACAATGGGCGGGCTGCTGGCAGCACGTGGCAGCAGGTGATGAAGCAGGTGGGTTGGGTGGGGAGGTGCAAATTTGTGTTGGTTGCAACGAGGGATTCCATTTGGTGACGTCCGGACGTCCATATTTGATGAGGTGAGAGGAGATGAGGGGAGGTGAACGCGGGTGCGTGCAAGTGAAAGCAGTGAATGTAAGACATAGGAAAATAACAACCAGAGTCTCCAGTGCAGCACAGCGCAGTAATCATACAAAGGAGCAAGCAAAATAACAAGCAGGTGGGGCCAGAAGTTGGGGTTGGAGTGAGATGTTGCAGGGATGGGATGCGGGCAGTGACAGTGGCAGCTTACAAGGCCATATGCGGAGCGGCGGAGGCCAAAGGGGTCGGCCGAGGCAGAGGGCTCACAGCCGATTGCAAAGAGCCCCACGAGACTGTCGAGCCTGCGAGGGAGCAAAGGGGGAACCGGAGGGAGCAAGGCGTGGGCAGTGGGTGGTGTGAGGGGTACTGGAGGGCTCACAGCCGATTGCAAAGAGCCCCACGAGACTGTCGAGCCTGCGAGCATATTGGAGGCACAGGAGGGTGTGGGAAGTGGGTGGTTATCAAGGATTGCTGTATGGGTCACAGCCCAGGGCTCACAGCCGATTGCAAAGAGCCCCACGAGACTGTCGAGCCTGTGAGGGAGAGGGTGTGAATACCAGAAGCGGGGTACGGGAAGTGGGCGAGGAGGAGCACTCAGCTAGTGACCATTTAAGCCAAGTCAAACGGCAGAGAGGGAAGGGAGTGAGGGACATACCTGGTGGCGAGAGAGAGGGTGAGAAGTCCAGAGGAAGCACAGTGAGGACGAGCAGTGAGCTGGTGACCTATCAAGTGGAATCACACGGCAGAGAAGGGAGGGAGTGAGGGGCATACACACCTGGTGGCGAGGGAGAGCACTCAGCTGGGTGAACTTCTAAGTCGTGTCAAAAGCCAGCGACAGAAGGGGGGGGCATACCTGGTGGCGAGTGAGAGCACGAGGCCAGGAGCTGTAGCCGGAAGCTGGTCGCCTGCAGAGCGCGGCAGCACACACTCGAATATGGCCCTGCTCACCTGGGGAAGGGAAGTGGGGGGAGAGGAAGGGGAAGAGGAGGATACATGGTGTGCACAGATTAATCCTCTGCAGAGCGCGGCAGCACACACTCGAATATGGCCCTGCTCACCTGAAAGGGGGGCAGGTGGGGGTGTTGGTAATGAGAAAATTCGAACATGAAAGGGAAGGAAGGAAAGAAGGGGGTTGCCACGCGCTCATGCCGTGCTGATCGCAGCAGCGCAGACTTATATATGACACCCCAATTAACTCCATCACCACGTGCGAATCTGTAAGTGCCATGTTCGAGTCTGCACTGCTGCCTTGGTAAAACTCCACGCACGGATCTACACACGCCCAGTAATTTCTATCACCAAGGGCGCCCAGTAATTTCTATCACCAAGGGCGCCCAGTAATTTCTATCACCAAGGGCGCCCACAGGTCCGTCCGTACTGCCTGCTGTCCCTCCCTCCTCTCCTCCCACACACTCACCTCCTCCCCCAACCCTTCTCTCTCAGCCAGCCATGTAAACTCCATCCATCACCACGGCAGTCACAAGGTTCAAAGGCTCTCAAAGCAAAAACCCTCATGTTGTCCCACGCACTCACCTCCTCTCCCAACCCTTCTCTCTCAGCATAGTGTCTACCCATAATCCCCGCAAGTCCAGTAAACTCCATCACCACGGCAGTCCCAAGGTCAGCCATGCACAGCCTGATATCCCTCAATCTTCCCACACACCTACACTCACCTCCTCCCCCAATCCCTCTCTCTCCGCGTAGTGTCGCCCCATGATCCCCGCCAGCCCTGTAAACTCCATCACCACGGCAGTCCCAAGGTCTGCCATGCACAGCCGCGCTGCCTGCTGCGCTGCGGCGGAGTCCGATGGAGAGAGGGGCAGAGCGGTGCAGAGGAGCGGCGTGATGGCCTCTATGCGCTCGCTCTTGTCCAACATGGAACCCAGCTTCGCCTGGCAGGTGGAGGGGGACAGAAGGATAGAAGGATAGGTGCAATGGGAGAGGGAGGCCGGGATAAGCAACGAAGAGGGAATAGAGCAACATGGAGCAGCGTGATGGCCTCTATGCGCTCGCTCTTGTCCAACATTGATCCCAGCTTCGCCTGGTGGGAGGGAGGAGGACAGAAAACACGGGACAATCGGATAGGGCGGTAGCGGAGAAGGTGGAGGGAAAGAGGAAGAGAACGGGGATGGCTCAGTGAAGAAGGTGTGCCTCCTACATTCGGCTGCTGGCTGTACCTCACGTGATAGGGGACGGGACATTTGTGCTTTGTGGTTCCACTGTCCACAGCTGGAAAACGGTATGCACAGTGGCGGCCAGTCTGGTTTGGAGGAAGACACGACACGGAGCTGGAGGTAGAACAGCGTGAAGCAGAGTCAGGGAGAGGAAGGCACATGGAAGGTGCAGAGGGATGGGAAGGAAGGAACCTGGAAGGTGATGCCCTTGAGCTTCTCCCGGAAGGACTCGAGCGGATGTGCCGTGTCACTGTTGTAGAAGAAGCGCGCGTCCTCGTAGCGCGCACTGTGGGGGGGAGGGTGGGGGGAAGATGGGTGCCAAGGGGATGTGGACAGTGATAAGAGAACATGGGAGGGATGGTAGGTGTCGCTGTTGTAAAAGCAGCGCGCATTCTCGCGGCGCGCACTGTGGAGGAAGTAGGGAGGGATGGGAACGAGGAATGGAATGGACGAACGGTGTGAACAAAAATGGGAGGGCGATGGGTAGCAGCAGCTATTACTGTTGTGAAAGAAGCACGCATCCTTGTAACCCACCACCCTTTCTCCAACCCTCTCCCCCCCCACCCCCACCCCCCCCACCCACTCACCGCAGCACCGACTCGTTCCCGGCCCGCACTGCCGCCTCGTCCAGCTTCCCATTCGGCACCGCCACAAAGTACGGGAGAAGCTTCCCGGAAGCTGCGTCCTGCACCGGGAAGTACCTCTGATGCTTCCTCATCACCATCACCAGCACCTCGGGCGGCAGGTCAAGGAAGCTGCGGTCGAAGCTTCCTAGAAGCGGCACGGGTGACTCCACCAGGTTTGCCACCTCAGCAAGGAGGTCCCCTCTCGCATCTTCCGGGATGCTTCCTCCCACCGATGCTGCCAGCTCACTGCTCGCCGCCCAGATTGCGTCTTTACGCTCCTGGCAGATCAACAGATGGGAGCCATTAGGAGATGGCATTGGCAGGCGTGGCACGAGGCAGGGAGGCAAGGAGGCAACACCAAGTGGTACAGAGTGGCTCTGTACGCTCCAAGCAGGTTGGCAGATGAGAAGCATTAGGAGATGACAGGAATAGACCCAAAGCATTTGGGAGACGGATGATGGGAAGGTGAGTGGGTGCTTGGAGAAAGCTGACAGAGAGCCATCATAATGTTGTATCTTTTGCGTGGTCACAATGGGTGCTGATGGGTGGTGATGGGTGGTGATGCGTGACAGCAGGCAGGGGGAGTGGCAGGGAGAGATGGGGCGCACCTGGATGGAGAGGGTGATGCCGGCAGCTGCGATGGCTGCTGCGTACTCCTCTGCAGATGGAAGCTGGTGTGGTGCGATGCGGTGTGGTGCAGTGCGGTGAGGTGTGGGACAGGGGGGGATGGATGGAAAAACTTATTGCGCTCAGAAGGTGACAGCTGGTGCGGTGTCACGTGTGGGGGGGGTTGGATGGGATGGGATGTATGGGGACGCAGATGGAAGTAGAGCATACGGCGCGAAATGGGAAGGAGATGAAAGATGTTCAGGCCTGCAGGGCAGCAGAGTGATCTGAATCTGGAAGCACATGACAGCCCTGACAGCATCGGCGAAAGCACGTGGCTCACTTTTGAGGCGCCTCTAAAGCATAGCTCACCTGCACCCTGGTCTCCGGTGCGTTCCTCAGCATCTACGACTCGTTGCCAGACGCCAGCCCTGTAGAGTGGCTCAAAGCATCTTACAGCCCTGCAAACTGACCTTCCAGTCACCACAAGCTCACCTGCACCCTGGTCTCCGGTGCATTCCTGAGCAGCCACGACTCGTTGCCTGAGGCCAGCCCTGCATAGGCGAACGGCACCACCGTGTTGCCGTGCATTGCGAGCAGCCACCGGATGGGGCGGCTGAATGCCACCTGTAGAATGGTGTGGTGAGGGTGGTGGGGTAGGGGTTGTGTGGTGTGTGATTGAAGCTTGTGGAATCCACAGACACGGGCAGCTGCTCCCTCAGCAGCACCGCCCTCCCCGCCCACCCTAGCTGTTGTTCCAGTGCTTTACAATGCACTCACCTGCAAGCCCTGCTCTACTCACCTGGGAGTTCCACCGCATAATTTTAGGAAACGCAATCCCCACAATCACAGCAGGCAGCTGCGAACACCACATGCACCGCCCACGCCTGCTCTCCTCAACCTGTTACCCTGTCCTTACATGGCTACCACATGCCCAGCTCCAAGCCCTGCCCCACCTGGGAGTTCCACCGCATGGTTTTTGGAAACGCGATCCCCGCAATGACCCCCGGAAGTTGCTCCCCCAGCACCGCCCACGCGGGTCGGCTCTCCTCGCTCACGCTCGCCCACACGTACTCCACGCCCTTGTCGTCCGCCCGCATGGTTACCGCCTCCGCGGTTACCGCGTTACGCTTGCAGAAACCCTCTAGCGCCTGGAAGGGGAGGAGAGACGAAGGGAACGAGCAACGGGCTTTCATTACGAGATGTTCTTTTTGTGCCAGCGCAGAAACTGGTAGCCACACCCTAGAGGATACCTTAGCGGGCAGGGCAGCCAGTCCTTCTCAAACGTTTCATTAGAGGGTGCCCCTGTACCTGCCTCTGCTCGCCCTGCTGCCATCTCATACCATACATTTCACCCACCAGGGTTCATGATTTCCTTTGGTACCTTAGTGGGCTTGCCGTCCTTGTCGAATGCCTTGTTAGCCGGCGGCCCTCGCACCTCCCGCTGCTCGCGCTGCTGCCACGCTGCCAGCCCCGCCACCTGCACTGCGACCCTCCTGGGTGTGCCCTCCACACGCACTGAGCCGTAAGGCAGGCGCAGGCGATCGAGCAGAGGCGGGATGGCAGCTTGCAACTGGCAACAGGGGAGAGAGGAGAGGGGGGAGAGGAGTAAGGGTGGAGAATGGGAGAGGGAGGCACAGTGAGAATGAGAATCAACGCCATCTGCACCTGCACTGCCACATGCACCGCCAGCCTCCTGGGTGTGCCCTCCGCACGCATTGAGTCGTACGGCAGTCGCTGGCAGGGGAGGGAAAGAAGAGTTGGGTGGGGGGGACCACAATGAGAATCTGCAGCTCCAGGCGCAGGAGAATCTGCAGCTCCAGGCGCAGGAGAATCTGCAGCTCCAGGCGCAGGAGAATCTGCAGCTCCAGGCGCAGGAGAATGTGCAGCTCCAGGCGCCGGAGAATCTGCAGCTACAGGCGCAGGAGAATCTGCAGCTCCAGGCGCAGGAGAATCTGCAGCTCCAGGCGCAGGAGAATCTGCAGCTCCAGGCGCAGGAGAATCTGCAGCTCCAGGCGCAGGAGAATCTGCAGCTCCAGGCGCAGGAGAATCTGCAGCTCCAGGCGCAGGAGAATCTGCAGCTCCAGGCGCAGGAGAATCTGCAGCTCCAGGCGCAGGAGAATCTGCAGCTCCAGGCGCAGGAGAATCTGCAGCTCCAGGCGCAGGAGAATCTGCAGCTCCAGGCGCAGGAGAATGTGCAGCTCCAGGCGCAGGAGAATCTGCAGCTCCAGGCGCAGGAGAATGTGCAGCTCCAGGCGCAGGAGATTTTGCAGTCCTACCACAGTCCCGCCACAGTGCCACCGCGTTCCTCCTGGGTGGGCCACGCCATGCACCTTCCTGCTACCACGCTGCCAGCCCCGCCACCTGCACCGCCACCCTCCTGGGTGCGCCCTCCCGGGTGTGCCCTCCATGATCGCAGGCGGTCGAGCAGAGGCGGGATGGCCTGGCCACCGAAGCAGAGGCCAGGCCACTACTTGGGCATAGCGGCAGGCGGGCGAGTAGCGGCTGTTTCATCCACGGGTGGTACCCACCTGTGCAACAGCGCTGCTGACATCATCAGGTGGCAACTCCTCTGTACCGATCTCCACCACTAGCATCCGGCCCTTGCGCTCCCCTGCCTCCTCGCCGCCCGCACTCGTTGCCCCGTCCTGCACCGCCACGTCAGCAGACGGCCACGTGTCACCAGTTGGTTGTGCCACGTCAGCATCCGTCCGGCCCAATGGGAAGTCGAGCTTCTCCCGCGTGTCGACCCACAGTTGGGCGCACTGACGCGCCAGGCTGGCTTGGGGGGTGAGGGAATGAAAAGCAGGGAAAGGGCAAGAGGAGAGGAAGAGAACGGATGGGGGGAACCTGATGGGGGGAACCTGATGGGGGGAACCTGATGGGGAACCTGATTAGGAACCTGATGGGGGAACCTGATGGGGAACCTGATGGGGAACCTGATGGGGTGGGGAACCTGATGGGGAACCTGATGGGGTGGGGAACCTGATGGGGAACCTGATGGGGAACCAGATGGGGAACCTGATGGGGAACCTGATGGGGAACCTGATGGGCAACCTGATGGGGAACCTGATGGGGAACCTGATGGGGAACCTGATGGGGAACCTGATGGGGAACCTGATGGGGAACCTGATGGGGAACCTGATGGGGAACCTGATGGGGAACCTGAAGGGGAACCTGAAGGGGAACCTGATGGGGAACCTGATGGGGAACCTGATGGGGAACCTGATGGGGTGGGGAAACTGATGGGGAACCTGATGGGGATAGTGATGGGGAACCTGATGGGGAACCTGATGAGGAACCTGATGGGACCCTGATGGGAAACCTGATGGGGAACCTGATGAGGAACCTGATGGGGAACCTGATGGGGTTGGGAAACTGATGGGGAATCTGATGGGGTGGGGAACCTGATGGGGAACCTGATGGGGAACCTGATGGGGAACCTGATGGGGAACCTGATGGGGAACCTGATGGGGAACCTGATGGGGAACCTGATGGGGAACCTGATGGGGAACCTGATGGGGAACCTGATGGGGAACCTGATGGGGAACCTGATGGGGAACCTGATGGGGAACCTGATGGGGAACCTGATGGGGAACCTGATGGGGAACCTGATGGGGAACCTGAAGGGGAACCTGATGGGGAACCTGATGGGGAACCTGATGGGGAACCTGATGGGGAACCTGATGGGGAACCTGATGGGGAACCTGAAGGGGAACCTGATGGGGAACCTGATGGGGAACCTGATGGGGAACCTGATGGGGAACCTGATGGGGAACCTGAAGGGGAACCTGATGGGGAACCTGATGGGGAACCTGATGGGGAACCTGATGGGGAACCTGATGGGGAACCTGATGGGGTGGGGAAACTGATGGGGAACCTGATGGGGAACATGATGAAGAACCTGATGGGACCCTGATGGGAAACCTGATGGGGAACCTGATGGGGAACCTGATGGGGAACCTGATGGGGTGGGGAAACTGATGGGGAATCTGATGGGGTGGGGAACCTGATGGGGAACCTGATGGGGAACCTGATGGGGAACCTGATGGGAACCTGATGGGAAACCTGATGGGGAACCTGATGGGGAACCTGATGGGGAACCTGATGGGGAACCTGATGGGGAACCTGATGGGGAACCTGATGGGGAACCTGATGGGGAACCTGATGAGGAACCTGATGGGAACCTGCGGGGAAACCTGATGGGGAACTTGATGGGGAACCTGATGGGGAACCTGATGGGGAACCTGATGGGGAACCTGATGGGGGGAAACTGATGGGGAACCTGATGGGGAACCTGATGGGGAACCTGATGGGGAACCTGATGGGGAACCTGAGAACCTGATGGGGAACCTGATGGGGAACCTGATGGCGAACCTGATGGGGAGGGGAAACTGATGGGGACCTGATGGGGAACCTGATGGGAAACCTGATGGGGAACCTGATGGGGAACCTGATGGGGAACCTGATGGGAAACCTGATGGGGAACCTGATGGGGAACCTGATGGGGAACCTGATGGGGAACCTGATGGGGAATCTGATGGGGAACCTGACGGGGAACCTGACGGGGAACCTGACGGGAAACCTGATGGGGAACCTGAGAACCTGATGGGGAACCTGATGGGGAACCTGATGGGGAACCTGAGAACCTGATGGGGAACCTGAGGACCTGATGGGGAACCTGATCGAGAACCTGATGGGGAACCTGATGGGGAACCTGATGGGGAACCTGATGGGGAACCTGATGGGGAACCTGATGGGCAACCTGATGAGAAACCTGATGGGGAACCTGATAGGGTGGGGAAACTGAAGGGGAACCTGATGGGTTGGGGAACCTGATGGGGTGGGGAACCTGATGGGGAACCTGATGGGGAACCTGGTGGGGAACCTGAAGGGGAACCTGATGGAGAACCTGATGGGGAACCTGATGGGGAACCTGATGGGGAGGGGAACCTGATGGGGAACCTGATGGGGAACCTGATGGGGAACCTGATGGGGAACCTGATGGGGAACCTGATGAGGAACCTGATGGGAACCTGAGGGGAAACCTGATGGGGAACCTGATGGGGAACCTGATGGGGAATCTGATGGGGTGGGGAACCTGATGGGGAACCTGATGGGGAAACTGATGGGGAACCTGATGGGAACCTGATGGGAAACCTGATGGGAACCTGATGGGAAACCTGATGGGGAACCTGATGGGGAACCTGATGGGGAACCTGATGGGGAACCTGATGGGGAACCTGATGGGGAACCTGATGAGGAACCTGATGGGAACCTGATGGGAAACCTGATGGGGAACCTGATGGGGAACCTGATGGAGAGGGGAACCTGATGGGGAACCTGATGGGGAACCTGATGGGGAACCTGATGGGGAACCTGATGGGGAACCTGATGAGGAACCTGATGGGAAACCTGATGGGGAACCTGATGAGGAACCTGATGGGAACCTGAGGGGAAACCTGATGGGGAACCTGATGGGGAACCTGATGGGGAACCTGATGAGGAACCTGATGAGGAACCTGATGGGAACCTGAGGGGAAACCTGATGGGGAACCTGATGGCGAACCTGATGGGGAGGGGAAACTGATGGGGAACCTGATGGGTAACCTGATGGGGAACCTGATGGGGAACCTGATGGGGAACCTGATGAGGAACCTGATGGGGACCTGATGGGGAACCTGATTGGGAACCTGATGGGGAACCTGATGGGGAGGGGAAACTGATGGGGAACCTGATGGGGAACCTGATGGGGTGGGGAAACTGATGGGGAACCTGATGGGGAACATGATGAAGAACCTGATGGGACCCTGATGGGAAACCTGATGGGGAACCTGATGGGGAACCTGATGGGGAACCTGATGGGGTGGGGAAACTGATGGGGAATCTGATGGGGTGGGGAACCTGATGGGGAACCTGATGGGGAACCTGATGGGGAACCTGATGGGAAACCTGATGGGGAACCTGATGGGGAACCTGATGGGGAACCTGATGGGGAACCTGATGGGGAACCTGATGGGGAACCTGATGGGGAACCTGATGGGGAACCTGATGGGGAACCTGATGAGGAACCTGATGGGAACCTGCGGGGAAACCTGATGGGGAACTTGATGGGGAACCTGATGGGGAACCTGATGGGGAACCTGATGGGGAACCTGATGGGGGGAAACTGATGGGGAACCTGATGGGGAACCTGATGGGGAACCTGATGGGGAACCTGATGGGGAACCTGAGAAGCTGATGGGGAACCTGATGGGGAACCTGATGGCGAACCTGATGGGGAGGGGAAACTGATGGGGACCTGATGGGGAACCTGATGGGAAACCTGATGGGGAACCTGATGGGGAACCTGATGGGGAACCTGATGGGAAACCTGATGGGGAACCTGATGGGGAACCTGATGGGGAACCTGATGGGGAACCTGATGGGGAATCTGATGGGGAACCTGACGGGGAACCTGACGGGGAACCTGACGGGAAACCTGATGGGGAACCTGAGAACCTGATGGGGAACCTGATGGGGAACCTGATGGGGAACCTGAGAACCTGATGGGGAACCTGATGGGGAACCTGAGGACCTGATGGGGAACCTGATCGAGAACCTGATGGGGAACCTGATGGGGAACCTGATGGGGAACCTGATGGGGAACCTGATGGGGAACCTGATGGGGAACCTGATGAGAAACCTGATGGGGAACCTGATAGGGTGGGGAAACTGAAGGGGAACCTGATGGGTTGGGGAACCTGATGGGGTGGGGAACCTGATGGGGAACCTGATGGGGAACCTGGTGGGGAACCTGAAGGGGAACCTGATGGAGAACCTGATGGGGAACCTGATGGGGAACCTGATGGGGAGGGGAACCTGATGGGGAACCTGATGGGGAACCTGATGGGGAACCTGATGGGGAACCTGATGAGGAACCTGATGGGAACCTGAGGGGAAACCTGATGGGTAACCTGACGGCGAACCTGATGGGAAACCTGATGGGGAAACTGATGGGGAACCTGATGGGAAACCTGATGGGAAACCTGATGGGGAACCTGATGGGGAACCTGATGGGTGATGGGAAACCTGATGGGGAACCTGATGGGGAACCTGATGGGGAACGTGATGGGGAACCTGATGGGGAACCTGATGGGGAACCTGATGGGGAACCTGATGGGGAACCTGATGGGGAACCTGATGGGGTGGGGAACCTGATGGGGAACCTGATGGGGAACCTGATGGGAAACCTGATGGGGAACCTGATGGGGAACCTGATGGGGAACCTGATGGGGAACCTGATGGGGAACCTGATGGGGTGGGGAACCTGATGGGGAACCTGATGGGGAACCTGATGGGAAACCTGATGGGGAACCTGATGGGGAACCTGATGGGGAACCTGATGGGGAACCTGATGGGGAACCTGATGGGGAACCTGATGGGGAGGGGAAACTGATGGGGAACCTGATGGGGTGGGGAAACTGATGGGGAATCTGATGGGGTGGGGAACCTGATGGGGAACCTGATGGGGAAACTGATGGGGAACCTGATGGGAACCTGATGGGAAACCTGATGGGAACCTGATGGGAAACCTGATGGGGAACCTGATGGGGAACCTGATGGGGAACCTGATGGGGAACCTGATGGGGAACCTGATGAGGAACCTGATGGGAACCTGATGGGAAACCTGATGGGGAACCTGATGGGGAACCTGATGGAGAGGGGAACCTGATGGGGAACCTGATGGGGAACCTGATGGGGAACCTGATGGGGAACCTGATGGGGAACCTGATGGG